ACTCGAATTTATAATAAGTTACCGAACGAAAACAAATTTTCTAACAGTATCTAATAATATATAAATCACCAACGGACAAATAGGAATACGAAGCCCACTGACACTTGTACCATAAATGTTTTTATATCGCATTGAGATTTACGGCAATCGGTGCTTAAGATACATTAAATTTCAAGAGTCGTAATGTGAGTCTGTGTTGTGATTAGATAGCTCGAAAGCAATGCTTAAAAATAGATAGATTCACTATGACATAAATAAATACCTAAAGGGAGAGAAGAGAGCAGCTCTCCGAAAGATGCATCTAAAAGAAAGAAAGAAGGAAAACGTAAAATGGGATATGTCGCACCTTACCTCAATGACCTTTTTGATAATTTCCGCAGTTGAAGTTGTACAGGATATGATTTGTTAGGTGTAGAGAGATTAAACGGCGGGACGTTCAGGATTTTCTGTGATAAATTCTGGCCGTCTCCTCGCGAATAATACCTTGTTGAACGGCAAAAATCAGTACGCTCTATAAGTATAGACAATGTGCGATATATATACATATATATATATATGTATATAATATACAATATAATATATTGTATATATTATATATAATATATATTATACATATTATATATAAATATATATGTATATCTCGCGTGCCCTCTTCCGAATTCATCTTGTTACACGCTGTGCTCACTAGTCCCAAGTATGTATAAACAACGGTGTTCACGATACGTTCTCAGAGAGATACGCCATTCGGAAACCTCTGTACATTCGGACCTACTTTTTATTCGTCCGGGAACCCGAATCATTTTCGCCGCACGATCGCACGCGCAACAGGATGGCCACGCGCAAGGCAAACGTCTTGCATCGGAACTTGGTTTGTACACGGAGGTACGCGATACCAGTCTTCTTTCTCCGCCCCGGAGAGAGAGAGGTGTGCATAATCCGACCCACGACGGACTCCTGGGCACAGCGCGGCGTTTGATAGTGCATCGAAGCGCATCGTTCTCCTTTCGACGATATTGTTGATTTTTAACTGGATGATTATTATCGTTTACCTGTAGCAATGTGATCGATCGATTATAACGACGCACGACCTGCCAGGAAGGAACGCGCGCCGACCGGCGCGTAACTTTTAAACTGTCTGTCGGCAAAAGCTGGGGATGAAAATATGTAACACGCTGGAGCTAAGTATCGCGATTGTATCAATTAACGGTCAAACGTGGCTGTCAACAACCGCTTGGCATTCTCGAGGCAAACCTTTCTACCTAGTGAGATTCTGAGATAAATATATAGTTGTTTGACGGTACTTGTATCATAAGAACTACGGAGATCATTTATTGGCGCCAGATGAAAAAGGGAAGGGCCAATCAAGGCGATCGAAATCGTTTTCTTCTTTTCACCGGTCGCGTAGAACTCCTTGAAAGCTTATCCTCGAAGTCGCGCTGCGCGAAAAGATACCGGAGGCCGCCCAAGTCTCGTTCCGTAATGCGATTTCTTCCATCTGGCGCAACGCAAAAGGAAGAAAGAAAAAAGATGCCACTACGCTCATGAGATTCGCGTAAAAAGTTACATACCGGTCGCGCTCCTCCTTGGCAGACCGTGGATTTTCAGCGAAGCTAAAGGACACCGCCGTGGCGTCCAGGCCGAACAAGTTTAGGGACAATTTTTTCACGGGTAGCCGCGGTAGGGTACGATTCTCGAATCGGGAGAATATAGCAATTTTAAATGGCGAACGTGTAAGACGCGATCGAACGTGCGAGGCGAGGCGAGGTAAACGAGCTGTGCGAAATTTTTTTTTTCATTTGCGCGCGAGAGAGAGAGAAAGAGAGAGAGAGAGAGAGAGCGAGAGAAAAAGAAAGAGTGAGAGGACGCGGTAAGGAGTGTGTTTCAAAAACGCACGTGCAGCAGCCTCTCCCGATGGGAGAAGGGAGGTCCCAGCGAACAGGACGAGAGAGACTCCCCTTAGGATTCCTTTCGCTTTCCGACATGCGCGCTTTATTTCGAGTTCGAGAGTCGCCGTCTCGGGATGAATTTGTCCACTCCATTCAGCTGTCGCAAAATGCAAAGTATTTAAGCCAATTAGCAGACAACAGAGATGTATACATTTAATAGTGTAAGGGCCAGCCGCGATTCATGTTCCAAACGATTTATTACTGCGTGTGCGCACACACATGCATATATACAACGTACATATGTGTGTATGTATGTATGTATGTGTGTCTACATTTTTTTTTACATAAAATAGAGAATTTAGAGAATTTAATTTACGATCATGAGAGAAAGAGGATAATCAACTGAATTTTAATCATTTATCTTAGCCGACACGTATACATGCGACGTTTTTGCGCGCATCGCATGTTTTTAAACATTTGTATCGCGAAAGCAGTTTTTTGACGAATTTTCTTGATCATCTATTGCCCCAGTGTAATTTTAAAATCGCTTCGCCAGCTTGCTTTGTTACTGTACAATTTTCACCTTTCGCTCTTCGAGCAGCCCGATTAGTCGATAATTTTAAAGTTTTGTAACATAAAAATATATCTCTATTCGTCCTCCTCCTGTCTTCAGAAAGAAGAAAATGTAGATCTGTTATTCGCGCGCTACCCATATTTTGTATATATCGAAGACTCTGAAATCTCAACGAATAATTTGGACAGTGGAGGATTAACGTATCTCTTGATTTTCGATCGCGCGTGTAACTCGTTAAATTGTTGTCTCGATCGGTGCCCCCCTGTAGCCGCGACAAAGTCTCGCGGCATGTAGTCCTTCCGCGTGCTTCGCGCTCGCACGTCTTTCCGCGTATTCTTTTTTTACGTTTTCAGTTTGCATACGTCTGGCACGGGGCGCATGCACGTGTGGCCTTTGAAAAAGTCCCCACGAGGCGCGCCCGCGGAAAACTCAATTAATTACGAGATCTTTGGAACATGTGTTGCGGCGGAAGTAAAGTAACCTAAGTTTCCTAACGTCATGAGTAAAAGCATTGTGTTCAGAAACAAATATAACTATAATACGACTGACAGAAAGAGAGAGAGAGAGAGAGAAAGAGAGAGATACGTCTGAAAGGCAACGCGCGAGCGTCCTTTGAGAATCGAGTATGAAAGGGTAATGATAATATCTTGGCGTCTCTTTCGGCGTACACCGATCGGGACAAAAAATATAAGGGATGAATGGAACGAGGAGCAAGAGAGAGAAAGTGTGTATGTGCATCGAGCGTATGTGTGTGAGAGAACGGGAGAAAGTGAAAAAAAAAAGTGAATTAAGAAACAAAAAACCGATTTATTAAGCTGAAAAAAAAATAATTAACAAAACTCCATACCGGATGAAGGAAAATGAACTTGTATCTAACGTGTATACATTGTCATAACATTATTATGATGATTATTATAATTATTATTATATATAATAATGTAATTGAAAATTTGAAACGATATTACATAAGGTTAATAATAAACAAAAGCATCTTCACCTTCTGCTGTTATCTTTTCTTCCGCTGCCACCTCTCGTCGTGCCGCATCCGATCCACCCTTGCGCGCAGGGACGGAGACTTATTCCTTATGGAGGGTATGGAGCTTTCCATACCCAGAGATCCTGTGGATGTGAAATTCCACACCCTGAATTCGGGGGTAATTATTGAAAAAAAATTTTTCAAAAGTAATTATCTAAAAGAGCTAATTCTTGCGTGATATCGAGATAAAATTTAAAGAAAAATATTTATATTTGTAAAAAAAAAATATGAAAAGAAATTAAATATAAAGGTCGAAATATATTTCGACATATAACAGAAGAGATAAAATATTTGTGTTGTTACGTACCCCCTCCCCCCCTCTCACCGCTTAAATAAGATACTCCGCACCCAGAAAATTCAAAAGTCCCGTCCCTGCTTGCGCGAGAAGACGCGTGCAAAAATGATTTAGCGCGTTCACGATACGTGTACCTAATAGTGTTTTGCAGTATTCTGAAGATGCTGATTCTTCTGGTTCAACGAACAGATTATTAAGAAAAGAATAGAGGTACGTAAAAAGTGATATGTAAAAAAAGCATTCTATAAAATATGAACATTGACACAAGGGAAATAAATTCAAATAAATTCAACGTATAATACTGTAAAAGAAAGATAAGAAAAAAATCCTACATATACATTTCTAGCATTTTTTTTTATTTGTCGTATTTGACATTCGATTTTATGAAATTTGTTTGACTAATATTGACAGTTTACCAATCAAGCTTAAAATAGTTTTATTAATTTTATAAAATTTGGCTTTAATCGTTCAAATATTAAAATTATTACTGCAGTGATATTGCAATTAGTATAGTGTATACACCCTGTGTGATTATAAATATATCATATACATAAATAATTACACGAAAAATATACATAATCTACAGATATGAACAATAATTTGGTGATTATTATATATATATATATATATATATATATATATATATATATCACAGGGTGTATACACTATACTAATTGCAATATCACTGCAGTAATAATTTTAATATTTGAACGATTAAAGCCAAATTTTATGAAATTATATATATATGTATGTGTGTGTGTGTATACATATATGTATATTAAATTAATTAAAGTTGTTTAATTTTTAAATTTTAAATATTAAATAATTACAATTAGTCAATTATTCAATACATATATTTTTTAATAATTAATTTAATATACGTATGTATATTTGTATATTAAATAATTAAAATTATTTATTTAAATATCTATTAATAATTAATCAGTTTTTTTTTAATCCGTTATTTAATAATATATATAATGATACGCGCATGCACGTTGTACGCATTTACACGTCACACACACATACACACAATTAAATATCTGAATTTTATAAAACTGAATAATTATTATTGATAAATATTTAATTAAATAATTTAAGTTATTTAATGTTATAATATTAAATAAGGTATTAAAAAAAAAAAAAAAACGAAATTGGATAATACTTTATCGATCCCAATCATCGATTCGTCGCGGGCGAGTTGATTGTGCAGCAGAAGAGAACCTCTCTGTTGTTGAGTAAAGCGATTTTCGCCAGTCCCGTGAGAAGTCGCTAACGCCGCTCTTCAGCAAGGCAACATGTCCGTCTCGCGGGAGAGGAAAGCGTGTCAATTATTAGTGCTTCAATTTTTTAGCGATTACAGCTGGACGAATGGCACCTACGCTGAACTAGCCGCGCGAAACTGATCTACGGCGGAGAGGAAGAGAAAATGAGTTTTTCCGTGAAGAAGACCGGCGGCAGAATGTGGCACGAGGCACGCAAGCAGGAGAAGAAGATCCGCGGCATGCTGGTCGATTATCGTCGCAGAGCGGAACGTAGACGGGATTACTATGAAAAAATTGTGAGTACTACGCGTAAACATACTGGATTTCCTTCGTGTAGCCCGAAATGGATCGACTCTGCGTATTATATTTTTACGAAAAATTCGATCTTCCTCTATTTTTTGGTTTTAACCAAAAAATACAGGAAAAAAGGGTTAAGAAAAGAATAAAGGTTCCTTTATTCTTTTCCTGCTTCCCTCTTTTACGTTTAATATTCCAAGAGGAGAGTATTGCTAAGACACGCGTAACAGTTAAAAACTTTCTTTTATTGTGCTCCATTTCCAGAAATCCGATCCTACTCAATTCCTCCAATTGCATGGTAGACCATGCAAGATACACTTGGATCCGGCGATAGCTGCCGCTGGTGACAGTCCTGCGAACATGTGAGTGCTGCAACATAGTACAGCCGCTAATTGTGCTCGTTCAGCAGTAGAAAATGATGTATATTTTATTCATATATGTATCTATAGGATGCCATGGCAGGGCAACGATGACAATCTTATAGATCGTTTTGATGTACGAGCGCATCTGGATTGGATACCAGAGCCAGTAGATACTATTGATGTTGATATTGCTCTGACAAGCGAAGACAGACATATCAACTATGAGCGCTATCGTATAATCGTGCAAAATGAATTTCTGAATGGTACGTTGCTTTTCTTCTCATCATTGTGTAGGAATCTTTTGCCACTCTTTCTTACATCTTCAATCGAACATCTCTTCTTCAGTGACTGAAGAGAAGTTTCTTCATCAAATACATTTGGAAGAACAGTTCGGTTCGTCGACAAAGTTAGAGGCTGCGAAAGATAAAAAGAAATCCTCTAATAACGCTGCCATCGGATATAATTATGAAACCGAAGAGCCGATACCCGAACCAGTAAAGACAACAGATCCAGTTATATCGGAAGAGAAGGGAGATGATGAAGATAGCGATATAGATTTAGGTACCATTATTTTACTTAAATTAATATTTAAAACATTGTTGACCGGGCATTTTGCGTAGAAACTAACACCTGTGGCCGATTTAAATTTTTAACCATATCAATAAACTCACTGGTCTGTTTGCGCAACAAAATTTTTTAATGTAATATATTACTTTTTTTTTAGATATATGCGTGGATGTATCTCAAATAGAGCCATCTCAGGCGCACGAGATGAATTTGGTAGCTCAAAAATATGGACTTTTAGGTGCTGATTACTTTAGCTTTTTAACACAAGATTTTGAAGAAGCTGAAACCTTGCGGCAAGCTCGTAAGCAAGAGGAGGAGAAAGCTATGTACTCGGTAAATAGTTACATCAATTTAAATATTCTAAAAATCAATATATCTTTATAAACACAACACATTTTTTATATATTATATATAATATACTAAAGCATCAAATATCTGAAAATATATTTAAATGAATATTTTCCATTTTAATAGGGTCGACGTTCGCGTAGAGAAAGGCGTGCTTTCAGGGAAAAGAAGATGATAGGTCGCGTTATGAGTCCACCTAGGTAATAATTCATTACACTTCCACAAGCAAATATGCTTTTTTTTTACGTTATTATTGTTTATAAAAAAATTCTATCTTTGTCTTAGCTATGCGGCTAGGGAAAGCCCGGAGTACAATCCTTATAGAAAATCCTCTTCCAAGTCGCGGTCGCGATCGACATCACCTGTAAATACGGGACAGATTACTTACATCACAAGCTTCGGCGGGGAGGAAGAGACTCACGGTAGTACATCACACGTAACTTCGTCGAATTCGAGAAAAGTCAATTATTCGTATCTCAGACGGCGGAGGTCGGACAGTCCTGCTTTCAACGACAGGACTGTCAGTAGAAAAATATCCAAGTCCAGGTCGAGAAGTTGTTCACGTTCCATTAGTAGGAATAAATCGTATAGGTCACGTGATAGGAAACGAAGTGGATCTAGGCTGAGGTAAGTTGCGAGAAGAAGAACGTAACAGACAATTGTTGACACAATATTTTAACTCTGTAATACATGTAATATTTAATCTGTCTCAGATCCAGACGAACACGCTCGAGACCTCGGAAGTATACAAGATCCCGCACAAGAAGTCGCTCCAGACGATCGCGAACGCGTAGTAAATCACGGTCGCGCTGCAGAAGCGTCAGCCGATCCCGATCCCGTTCAATTTCTCGATCGAGGTCGAGATCTAGATCACGCTCGCGTCTGAAGAGATCGAGGAGTTCGTCCTCGAGCACATCGAAATCGAGATCGAGGTCTAAATCGCGTAACAGAAGCCATTCTAGAGACAGCTATCGGAAAAAGCGATACTCGGTGTCGAAGTCAAGATCCAAGTCCCGCTCGAGATCGAAGTCTCCGTCACGATCAAGATCGAGATCGAGAAGCCAATCTAGCTGTAAGCGAGCGCGAAGCGATGATAACAAGACGCCAGCACTACCCAGGTAAAGATTTCGCCGATTCCTTCGGGAATTAAATTATTGTAACGTAAGCCGTATACAACTAATTCTTTTACGTGCAGGTATTATGGCCGACGTGGAAAATCGTCAAGTCTTGAGCTGGAGCTATCCGATAACGAAGAAAAATCCGGTCCAGCAGCACCGAAGACACCGATAAATACAAACGTGTAAGCATTTTATGAGTAATCTTAATTTTTCGCGCATCTTAAGTTACGCTTGGGGGATCTCAATTTTTTCTGAATATTTCAGGAACAAGCCAAAAGCAGGGTTAAGTACAAATTCTGGTGGCGGACACAAAGTCAGTAAGAACCATAACGCTTTCTTAGTCACTTAACGCACAGAGAATAGAGACAGAACATACTTATATAAGTACCATGTCTATATAAGTATTTTAATGTCTATATGTCTTCCATCTGAACGAAGAAAACCTCGGCAAGCGCGTTTTCATTATACATATCGCGATGTAACGTATTCTACATTTATTTGTTTTATTTTTAATTCATTCTGAAGCAGAATTTTAACGTTAAAACCAAAGAATTTGAAAACTTCCATGTACTATTTTATTTTGAAGATTATTCTTTTGGAATCTCAAATTGACTGCCCTATTATCTTTTTTTCATTCGTTCGTAATTGAATTCTAATCGTTCAATAAAGGAAATGATAAATTTTTGTAATATATATGTGTGTTACCAAAACCTATAATCCGTCAAAACTCGATTTCATTAGTTTTAACAACTAGTTCTCACTAATGAAATCGGATTTTACCAAATTATGAATTTTGACATATATATTCAGTCACATCCTATAATTGATTGATAATAATATATTATTAATGTGCATATGCTATGTATTGTTGTATGTGCAATGGATACTTTTAAAGACTTTTAAATTATATGAAAAATATCGATACCTTCTCTATAGACTTTTAAGAGTTTTATATTTTTCAGTCGTTGAAAATCACACCCCAGGAGCGGCTTAAGAAGAAAATGCAGGCCCTGTTAAACAGGCAGTGTAAGCAGAATATCTTAAAGAATAAAGGAGTGGTATGTGTCATAAAAATACAATTGTGAAATGAATTCTTTTCAGACAAAGCTGACAAGAAGGCAGAGCAGTTGAGAATCGAGAAGATGGAGCAGCAGAGACAGGATCGGGAGGACGAGATTCGAGAAATGTCTCTGAAACTTCGTAGAAAGTAAATAATTTTCCACAGATTGTGAATGCGGCGCGCGTTAATTTTTTAAAACTCGCCAACTTGAATAGCGACGTGAATTCTGTTTCTTCGCTTTTCAGGCAAAGAGAACGAAGACATCGCTATGAGGGCCACAGTTCCGACACGCGGTCTTCCGTGTCCCGTACACCAAGTCCGAGCCGTAGTCCAAGATCGCATCATGCCGTACGTCGCGATAGACGAGACACGGACGGCGATCGCGAGCGGGATAGGGAAAGAGAGAGGGACAGAGAGAGGGATCGGCGCGATGATCGGGATCGGACTGATCGGAGTAGAACAGAGTCGCGTAGGAGATACAGAGATTCGCCGCTTCGTTCACTGAGTCCGAGGAGCAATCGGTAAAAAAATCCCTCGTATCTGACCGCCTAAAATTGCGATTACCGAGTTGCACCGACAATGCGTTCACTGGACATTAGCAATTTTTTGTCTCTATATGACGTCTTTACATTAGTCCTGATCACTATAACACAGAGAGAGAGAG